TGAGGGGGCGAGGAACTCGAAGGGTGTATAAACGGGTGCGGGGACAGTAAGGAATACGGGCGAGGAAACGACCTGTGGAGGTGTGGTAGAGATCACAATGGTTAGCACCACCTGGGGTGAGAGTGGTGATCATGGATTGTTGGAGGGACCTTTGGGAGAGGAGGTTGGTGCGAAGGGAGGGAATGTGAAGACCTGTGACAGTACCTGAGGGAAAGAGAGGACAGGGAAGGGTGGAGGTTTTGCGACAGGGGATGGAAAAGCTGCTATCAGCGCCAAGGAGGGACGTGGATGTGGGAAGAGGATTGAGTTTGCCGGCATCTCGAAAGACATTATCAGTGGCTCCACTGTCCAAGACGAACTCAAGGGTGGAGGAGGGTGAGGCGGAATACTGAATTGAGGTTTCATTAATAGCAGGGGCATACATAGGAGATGCAACAGAAGGAGGCTGACTAAGGAGACCAACAAAGCCAGAGGAGGGACACACTGCCACCTGTGGACGGCGCAGGGGATGGACCGGAGAGGTGGGCCGCAGAGGCGGCATTTCCGGCGGTCCAGCTGGGAAACGGCTGCTGCTGGGGGACAGGAGGAGGAGGGAGGAGAGGAAGTTGGGGCTGGAGGTCGAGCTGCTGCTGGAGCTGCTGCCCATACTGCTGCGGTCCCTGCTGCTGGACACTCTGCTGCTGCTGCTGCTGCTGCTGAGAGGGGAGAGCAAAGGCCTGGTGGGCCTGGGAGGAGGAGGAGGGGGCGTAGAGGGGAGAGGTGCGAACATCGAGGGGAGTGGGGCGGGGATTAAGGGCGGACCAGCGAGGAGGGGTGCCAGAGTTCCCACGAGCGAACCACTCATCGCTGAGTGCCTTGAAGCACGTGTTAGTTCCATGAGTGGTTTGGTTGCAGCGTTGGCCTCGGGTGGGGCCATAGAGGGGAAGATACTGACAGGGTGGGAAGGCCGCTGCTGCCCCACGACCCGCACCACCACGACCGCCAGAGCCGCCTCGACCACCACCACGCCCACCTCCACGCCCTCCCCCACGTCCGCCCTTGCCGCTGCGCTGCTGTGCTACCGCGGCAGTGGAGGAGGAGTGGCGAAGGATTTCAGCCTCAGTGGTGATAATCCACTGGGCAACTTGAGCGGGAGTGTCATGCTTGGAGAGGAGTTGCATGTATGCGAGCTTGTGGGCATCGAAGGCGGGAGTGAGGCCTTCGAGGAGGTGGCAGCAGATGACGGTGTCAGGGTAGGTAACGCCAAGTGCTGCAAGGCGGCGAGCAAGGTCAAGGACGCGGCGAGTAAAGGCGGCTGCGCCGGCAGTGGAATCCATGGTGATGGATCCAAATTCCTTGATGAGGGCATAGAGGGTGGCGATGTCCTGCCGGTCAAAGAGGTCGACAAGCAGTTGCCACAGGTGGGAGGTGAAAGCTCTCGTTTGAGGGAGGAGGGGATAGTGGCGAGGAGGATGGCGAGAGCTCGACGGTCAGCAATGCGCCACGCAGCGATGTCGGTGGTGTAGCTGGCGAGACGTGTAGTGTACGTGGCGAGTCGAGCTTGGTAATCGCGGTGGCGGGCAGCAGCCTCGTCGTAGGCGCGCTTGTCGTCCTCATAGCGCAGTTGACGGCGAAGGTGGTCGTTGAGTGCGGTGCGGTAGGTACGGATGGCAGTTTCCATGCTCTGAGGATTGTTGACATCCGGCGCGAAGGTGGGAGGATCACCAGGAGGCTCGGGCTCAGGTCCGGGCTCGTCAGGAGGAGGTCCGGTGGGGGCGGAAGGGGCGATGGGCTGGAGTCCGCCTTCCTCCTGGAACACGACGGAACGGAGGGTATATCCGCTGACGACAACCGAGGAGAGCAACACCTCGACGGAGTGGGCATAAGAGTGCCAGTTGGCGGCCGAGTTGTCGCCCAACAACTCGAGAGAGTCAATGGTCGCCAGGTCGACCGATGAGTCTGCGGACGCCATGATGGCGAAGTCGGGAAGGTGCCGCTGCTGGTGCCGTTGAAGGTGCCGCTGCTGGTGCCGTTGAAGGTGCCGCTGCTGGTGCCGTTGAAGGTGCCGCTGCTGGTGCCGTTGAAGGTGCCGCTGCTGGTGCCGTTGAAGGTGCCGCTGCTGGTGCCGTTGAAGGTGCCGCTGCTGGTGCCGTTGAAGGTGCCGCTGCTGGTGCCGTTGAAGGTGCCGCTGCTGGTGCCGTAGAAGGTGGCGCTGCTGGTTTAGGGTTAAAGGTGCCGCTGCTAGGTGCTGTTGCTGGTGCGATTAAGGGTGAAGTAGGGGGGGGGGGGGGGGGAGGAGGTAGGGGAGAGGGAGGATGGCGCGGAAGTGTGGGGCAGGGCGCGGATGAAAGGGGGGAGGTCGCGCAGGTCAGTCGCGGCGGCGCGTCGGCCGCCCGTGAGAGCGCGAGGGTCGGCCGCGGCTCTGCGTCGGCCGTCCGCGTCAGCGCGAGGGTCGGCCGCGGCTCTGCGTCGGCCGTCCGCGTCAGCGCGAGGGTCGGCCGCGGCTCCGCGTCGGTCGTCCGCGTCGGCGCGGAGGTCGTCGGCGATCGCGCGGCGGCCGTTCGGGATGGCGCACAGGTCGGCCGCGACTCCGCGCTGGCCGTCCGCGTCGACACGCGGGGTGCTCGTGGCCGCGCGCTGGCCGTCCGCGACGGCTTGCTGGCCGTCCACGACAGCTTGCTGGCCGTCCGCGACGGTTGGCTGGCCGTCCGCGACGGCTTGCTGGCCGTCCGCGACGGCTTGCTGGCCGTCCGCGACGGCTTTCTGGCCGTCCGCGACGGCTTGCTGGCCGTCCGCGACGGTGTGCTGGCCGTCCGCGACGGAAGGCGTGAGGGAGGGGTGGCGGCGGGAGGGAGGATTGAGGCCGCGGGAGAGCGGTCGGAGGCCGCGAGAGGGAGGATTGTGGCCGCGGGAGGGAGGATTGAGACCGCGGAGGAGTAGATCTGAGCCGCGGAAAGCTAGATCTGAGGTACGGGAGGGAGGATTGAGGCCGCGGAGGAGTAGATCTGAGCCGCGGAAAGCTAGATCTGAGGTACGGGAGGGAGGATTGAGGCCGCGGGAGGCTAGATCTAAGACGCGGAGAGGAAATTACGGCCTAAGGATCGAGGGAGGTGGCGTGAGCCATTTGGCTCTGAATACCATGATAGAATTCAAGAATGGTTGAGTAATGAGCCAAGGAGGCTCTATAGTACAAGCATGCAAGGAAGAGAGGTTTGAAGAAGGAGCAAACCCTATTGGCCACTAAGTTGGCCAATGGGTGAAATGCCTTGTGGAGTAGGGAACCCCACAATGTTGCTAGGTTGTGATTGGTTGACCTTAAGACCAAATGTTGGCAAGTGCCAACCAAGGACCAAGACCAAATCCAATCTTGACCCAACCACAAAGTGTGGTTGGAGTGTACACCCAAGTTCCAACCCCCCAATAGCTTAAAGAGCTACACCTATTCTAGCCTATGTATGTTGTATATAAGATACATTTACAACAAGATGATGCGGAGGGGAGGGACGGGGGGGTGAGATGATGCCGGGGGTAGGGAGGGGTAGAGGTGTCGTGAAAATGGCCTCGGCGAACGACGTCTCCACGCCAAACGGTTTTTGGCTCGCCTCAAAATGGTCCCACGCTCTGGCAGTGCATGTAGGGACGAAGGAGCGGTAGTGAAGAGGTGTCGTGTGGAAGAGGCAATGGGCTTGACAAATGATGCCTCCATTCTGAATAGCTTCCGGTTCATCCCATCCTGGTGCCATGTCCGTTTTGAATCGTCTAAAATCTCGTTGTCCAGTTCACCTCAACCTGGTCCCATGCCCTGCAGCGCACACAACACAACATCCCACACGCTCAAGTCTTCCCTCTATCCTCTCTCGCCTACGACCTAAGAGTATCCCACCTGGAGCTGCTTCTGAAGCTGTCCTCAGCCAGACCCACCCCCTCCTCCAGTCCATAACACCCTTCATCTCTTACCTCTACCCTCTACCTTCCCTCCACCCCCTTCCCTCCACCCCCTTCTCTCCACCCCCTTCTCTCCACCCCCTTCCCTCCCTCCCTCCCCTTCTCCTTAGTGGGAATATACGCTCAAACCCTAAAGCGTATAGCGTATGTACGCTAGCGTGTGTACGCAAAACGCTATACGCTAGCTAATACGCTATACGCTATCAGAAAGTTTTTCGGGCTGCCCAGGAAAAAATCGCTTGTACACAAAAAGATGCGTAATCTTGTGCTGAGCATTTCGCCGAAGTCGAAATGCAATTCGACGGCCTAGGGAAGCGGGAATGTGCCTTCGAAGTTGCAGGCAGTTCAAATTTGAACATTACATTAGTACCGCATTGAAACCCATCTTATCTACGAACTCCAACCTGTCAAAAAACGTCCCCCGCCAAACCCCACTCACGTTTTCAACCAGCCAGCAAGATTCCAATCGTCATTTCTAGTTGACATTGCTCCTTTCCTACCTACTTCTCCTTCTAGTGTCTACTCCACATCTCACCTTAATCGCCGTTCAGACTTAGAAATGCTACGAAAGTCGTAGTGAGAATAGGGAAGACCTTGCGAATCTTGAGCAAGACGTTTTTTTCACCCTGCCCGGGATAGTTTTTTACCTGCCCGAAAAAGCGTATTACCAAATCGACCCTTAAGCGTTTGGCGTATATACGCTAGCGTATATACGATACGCTTAAATACGCTATACGCGTATATTCCCACTAAGCCCTTCTCTCCCCTCTGGAGCTGCTTCTGAACCTGTCCGCAGCCAGCCCTATCTCCTCCTCCCCTCCACCATCTACAGTTCACCACAGCAACCAGGCTAGCAGACCTCCACATGCACACAACAACATTCCATGTTCAGCTCTCCACTCTACCCTCCCCATTCCCCCCTCCCACCCTCCCATGCCATCCTACCTGGAGCTGCTTCTGAAGCTCTCCTCATCCAGTCCCATCCCCACCTCCCTTCCCTTAAATGCCCCCCACTGCACCTCAAGTCCCTGCAACCAGCCCACACTTCCCTCCACCTTCCACCCTGATTAGCCTACCTGGAGCTGCTTCTGAAGCTCTCCTCATCCAGTCCCATCCCCTCCTCCCCTCCCTCCGGCGCCCACCGCTGCAGTTCGCGCCCCTCCCCCCCTGCACCTGCGCCCCCCCAGCTGCCCCGCGCGTTGCTGAGCATGCTGCCGATGCTGCTGTCCGTTCGGATCTCCCCGTTGGCCGCCATAGACGAGGCCAGCAGGTCAGATCCGAACAGTGGGACGTCCTGTCAGTGGGGGAGGGAGAGGGAAAAGGGAGGGGTGAAGGGGAGAGGAAAGGGAGACAAGCTGACTCTCCCCGTTGGCTGCCATAGACGAGGCCAGCAGGTCGGATCCGAACAGTGGGACGTCCTGTCAGTGAGGGAGGGAGAGGGAAAAGGGAAGGGTGAAGGGCAGAGGGGAGAGGAGGGAGGGCAGTGGGAGAGGTGAGAGAGCAGGTCCGATCCAAACAGAGGGACACGTCATGTGTGCGCGGAAGGAGGGAGTGAGTGACAACGGGGGATGAGAGAGAGGGAATGAGAAAATGCCCTCTTCAAGCTTGCACCATGGCCCCTTACACTTCCAGCATACAGAGAAACAGTGAACAGAGAGAGCTTGGGAAAGGGATTAGGGAGAGTGAGCTTGCGGAGAGAGAGGGAGCATAGGGAGTGAGCTCGGGGGGTGGGAAAGACTGCAGCGTCGAGAGCGAGCTTGGGAGAGTGAGGGAGGGAGCAGCTTTGATGACGAGCTTGCCTTGGCAATCAGCTGTACGAGGTCGGCAGCTGGAACCACCAGCGTTTTCACCGGAGGCTTCCTGGCAGCTTCCCTGACTGCTGGCGTCTCTGTGCTCTGCGGCCCCGTTCCCTGCCGCACCAGCCGCGCCATCCTGAGCACCACGCCTGGAAACATGGGGTTGGGATGGGAGCATGACGAACGAGCAATTGGATGCAATTGGTGCGACTGACTGGTTGCAATTGGGTGTGACTGGGTGTGATTGGGTATAAGATGAATGTGATCGAACCAGCCGCTCCATCCTGAGCACTGCAGCTGAGGACGTATGGTTGGGAACACGAAGAAAGAGTGGATGCAATTGGATGCACATGATTGAAATTGAGTATAAAATGAACCAGACTGCACCAGTACCCCATCCTTGACGTGCAAAGGATTGCATCTGTTGACTAGGCGCGTGCATGACTTGACCAATGGCCCTGACAAACGAGGAATGGGTCACTTTGTCTGCTTTGAGTGGGAGCGGGTCTGCAATTGACGGAGAAAGGAGTGCGATAATTGCCTCTGTTTGAATGTCGTTCTCAAAGTCAATGATCAGGGCGCTGTGAGTGAGGGAGATTTGAGATGATCGTGCAGAGCTACCACAAGATACGGTGTCATTGCGCTTCCTGTCACCGCTCCTTGGTGATGTGATAGTGGTGACATTGACATGGCAGCTGCCCACGAGGCACTGGTGTGGTGTTGACTTTCAAAATCAGCGTGCCATCTGCTGTTGAAACACATGCCAAGGAGAAAGAGGTGGATGTGCGGGCTTTCATGACGATTCTTGACTTGGTTCTAAGTGCTCGCAATGCCATGAAAGCTCGCACATCCACCGTTTTCCCCTTGCCATGTGTCTCAATAGCAGATGGCACGCTGATCTTAAAAACCAACACCAGTATCTCGTGGGCACCTGCCACATCAATGCCAGTCACATCGCCCTGATCAATGACTTTGAGAACAAGATACGGTGTCATTGCGCTTCCTGTCACCGCTCCTTGGTGATGTGATAGTGGTGACATTGACATGGCAGCTGCCCACGAGGCACTGGTGTGGTGTTGACTTTCAAAATCAGCGTGCCATCTGCTGTTGAAACACATGCCAAGGAGAAAGAGGTGGATGTGCGGGCTTTCATGACGATTCTTGACTTGGTTCTAAGTGCTCGCAATGCCATGAAAGCTCGCACATCCACCGTTTTCCCCTTGCCATGTGTCTCAATAGCAGATGGCACACTGATCTTAAAAACCAACACCAGTATCTCGTGGGCACCTGCCACATCAATGCCAGTCACATCGCCCTGATCAATGACTTTGAGAACAACATTCACATAGAGGCAATCATCGCACCCCCTTTTCTATCACTTGCAGACGCGCTTCCGCTCAAAGCAGACAAAGTGACACATTCCTCGGTTCTCAGGGTTACCAACCAGTCAGGCATGCCCTGAACAAAAGATGCAAACTTTTGCACGTCAACAGAAGCAACCGACCGTTTCCACCCCGACATGACATGATTTGGGCGGGCCAGGAGGGTACCGGGCCGGGTCAGGTCGGGTCTTACTAGGCCGAGGTTTCAAAAACCCTGGCCCGACCGACCTTGAAGGGGTCGGGTCGACCCAGGGGCAGGTCGGTACAAAACAACCAACTTTCGCCCGCGCTCTGTGTATATCATCGTTTTCCGCTTGCCGATCAATGCAGATCGGCGATTTCGCCCGCCAAACTGCGCAAATTGACGATTCCGTTGGCGTATCCGAGCGGATCACCCATTTCGTTGGCCGATCTGCAGAGATCGCGATTTTGCCTGTAAAGTACGGAGCCTAGACACACGCTCGTCCCCAAAAAAATGTATTGTTTGACCCATTCGCCACTAATCATCACTCTATACCCCACAAAATCTAGAATTCCCAACCCCCCCTCCCAACCTTTACAAGTCTCTTGACATTGGGCCTCTGTACATAGTCGACTAGTACATGCCTCTATAGCTAGGGTTCGAGAAACTACCACTCTGCCATTCTTATGATGACCCAGATCAATTCGATGCCCGATTAGAACATTTTAAACCCAAAACCGGGTCGGGTCACTATCTCGATCCACCCAACCATATTTCAGGAATCGGGTCACGTGACCCGGCTGGGTCAGCGTTTTGAAAAGTCTGGCTGCCCGTCCCGACCCGCCCGGGTCCCATGCTCATGTCTACATATGATGATACTTAGGACTAACTTATGTACATATGGTTAACGTGGACATCCAAAGCGAACACATCAAAGACGCTAGCCATCCACGTTTTTTCCATCAAATAAAGAGTGGGTGCAATTGGATGCGAATGATTGAAATTGGGTATAAAATGAACCAGACTGCACCAGCTGCCCAATTCTGAGCACCACAGCTGGTGGCACACGGTTAGGAACATGGGATAGGAGGGATGTTGAGTGGAGTTAAGAGCATGGGAGAAGGTTCACTATATCACCGAATCTTCCTCGCTAAAAGCTTACTCTGACTCACCAAAATCCTCCTCGTTAGCAGCGTGGAATATGCCCGAGTACGAGTCGCCCTGCACCAGTTGCACCTCCACTGCATGCCCGATCATGCACGCGCTCACCGCCACCATCCATTCCCGTCCCCCCGCGCGCGCTGCCTCCACGCTCGCATCTCCCGCGCTCCCCCCGTTCGCGCTCCCCCCATTCGCACTCTCCCCCGCTCTGTCAAGCGCACCCCCGCCGTCCCCTTTTCGTGCGCCCTTCCCTGCTTGCGCCTGGTCCAGCTGTGCCTGCTGCTGCTGCGTCGGCGGCTGCTGCAGGTGTTGCAGCGGCTGCTGCCACGCGCCAGTCAACACACCCACTCCGCCCCCGCCCGTGTGCCACGGGTTTCCGCCAGGTCCCCCACGGGGTCCGCCAGCCCCGCCAACGCCAGCTCCTCTTCCCCAAGCGTTGTCGCTTTTCCCCGGTCCGCCCCGCGCCCACGCTCCCCCCGGAGCTGCGCCGCCCGCAGATCTACCGCCGTCCGCGCTGTCCCCCCATCCCGTGCTTCCCCCTCCACCTGCTCCCGTCGCTCCTGGCCCCGCGGGCGGGGGAGGAGCGGCGACGGCGGAGCGCCAGCTGGGCTGGTCGGAGCGAGAGGGCGCAAGGGGGGAATCGCGGGAACCGGAAGGGGATCGGCCGTATCTGCCGCTCTTGCCGGCCGCTGCTGACTGATGCATTGAGAGTGATTGATCTACGGAAAAAGACAAAGCATGTGCAAGCTTCTACTGAAGTAAGAGCTTAAAAGTAAATACACGAGAAGGTTCCTGAAAAGGGGGAGGATAGGAGCCCTATGGTGTGCGCTGTTGGTGGAAAGAGTTTGAACAGAAATCCTCGCGCTAAATCCGGTACAGGAATAATTTTCTTTTGTCACTGTTCTGGACACGGCAAAAACTGCCTGCCAGAAATGTCTCTCGGGATTGCACCTGAAACTATAAAAGCCAGTCCGTCCTAGGCGATCAAACCCTAAATCTGGAACGAACCAGGTGAATCCACAGAAGCCAGAAAAGGCATTCGGTTCGGTGAGGCGGGTGATCAGTGAGATAAGAAAAGGAAAGAGATCAAACAACCTCCATTTGTGCATAAATTCTCCTCACAACACCACCGACCGACGCACGATGGCTCCGACAAACCAACCTGACGGCCCTCCAAAAACCTAAAGCTTTTTTCTAACGAAACCCTATCTAACCGTTATATTTTTTAAATTAACCAGAACTCCCATCTTTCGAACCGCATTGAGCAACTGTTGCTCACGGTTGCGGGGTGTAGCCGCCAAGGCAATGGTAAGTGGAGGACAGGTCCGCCTGGCGTTGCACGAGCCAACCACATGAGCTCGCGCCAATCTCGAGGCTGATTGGACTTGTTACAACAGGTGAACTCTGCCCATATGATTTCAGTTCCTACTCCGCTATTTGATATAATTTGATAATATGATTCAAGAGCCCGAAAAATGAGCCGATTTCACGACCGCCAAGAAATACAATGCTTTATCACTATTCAGATGTCATGCAAGTGCAGCATCAATAATGGCTTTGGTTTCTGATTGGTGGATGGCAAAGCTTCCAGTTGCAGGAGAGGCAGAGGGGGCACGACCAACAAAACGGATGGGTGTGGGTGCTGACGTGGCAGGGTGATCTGGACAAAGGCTATGCAGTAGCGTGGCGACACGTGGCCTGATGTACGGCCATGCTCCCATGTTCTTAGGCTCCTCCTGTAACAATGCAATAGAACAATGGGCATGGTATGGCAAAAACATGGCACAGTAAGCATGCCAGGAAGCATGTGAATATAAATTCAATACCTGGGTTGCACGCACATGAGTGAAGCGCTGGAGTACCTTCTACGGTAATGACCCTCCAGCCACATGAGTGCGGCCATTCCCACATGAGTGTGTGGGAGGAGCAAGGAATGGGGGTGAAGGAAAGAGGGGAGCATTCACCTGCGCCCACACGAGTTCAGCCATGGAGTGACTGTTGATGACCCGGGCCGGGCTACATGGTCCACCGCCATGGGTGCCCGCTGCTCTATGCGCATCAGCCCAGAGGGGGGAGGACGAGTGGGGGTGGAGCACGCACCTGAGCCTATACAAGCTCTGCCGTGGAGTGGCTGTTGATGACTCTTGCTACATGGTCCACTGCCACGGGTGCCAGCTGCTCTATGCGCATCAACCCCGAGGGGGGAGGACCCGAGGGGGGAGGACGAGTGGGGGAGGAGCACGCACCTGCGCCCACACAAGCTCTGCCGCACTGTGGCTGTTAATGACCCGTGCTACATGGTCCGCCGCCATGGGTGCCAACTGCTCTATGCGCATCAGCCCGAGGGGGGGAGTAAAGGGAGAGGGGGGAACACCCACCTGCGCCCAAACAAGTTCTGCTGCGGAGTGGCTGTTGATGACCCGCGCTACATGGTCCACCGCCATGGGCGCCAGCTGCTCTATGCGCATCAGCCCCACGTCCCACTGCTTCCTTCCCCGCCTTGCATGCGCCAGTGAGTAGTAGATCTGATGTGGTGGTGGCAGGGAGGGAGGTAAGGACACATGGGTGCAGCAAGTAGAAGGTCTGCTGTTGTGGCAAGGTGGCATGGTGGCATGGTGGCATGGTGGCATGGTGGCATGGTGGCATGGTGGCATGGTGGCATGGTGGCATGGTGGCAGGAAGGTGGAGAGCAGGGATGTGACGGTGGCACATAATGATAGACCCAAGCACCCACCTTCCCCAAGCATCCACCTTCCCCAAGCATCCACCTTCCCCAAGCATCCACCTTCCCCAAGCACTCACCTTTCCAGCGCATCCACCTTCCCCAAGCATCCACCTTCCCCGTGCACTCACCTTTCCTGAGCACAGCACGAGTCGTTTCATGTCGCCAGGCAGCAGCAGCTTGTCAGCATGCAGGTGCCGCATGTTGTCTCCTATGTCTCCATCTGCTATCACTGGCCTGGCAGGGACTCATTGCACAGAGGGGTGAAGTACTATGTCCTTCTGAAAGCATTCCACAGAGGGGAGTGGAAAGGAAGCACACAACCCATGCATTGCCCATGCCTCCCGTTGTCGCCTATGCCTCAAAAACTTCCCTAAAGACATAACCGTTTCAATGAAAGGAAAGAAGGCTGAGAGTCATAGTGTGGATGTGAATGGGGGAAGGTGGGGGGAGAAGAGGGGAAGGTTTTACAGGAAGCAGGAGAGGGGAAAGAGAGCTCACTGGATGAATGTGCTGGGCTCACTGGAAGGTGGGGGGAAGCAGGGCTCACTCACTGGAAGAATGTGCCGGATGTGAAATGGCTGAGAGGTGACGCGCAGGGCTTGTGATGCAGCAGGTACTGCTTGGTCAGAAGGCGGGGGAGAAACAGGGGTGAAACGGGAGAGTTGGAAAGTTGGGGTGATCACATTTGGGTAAGTTTGGGATGTTGTGTCTTGGGCACAACTTGCGCAACCTCTTCTACACTACACTAGAACAATGTGCAACGAAGTGAAGTACAGTAGGGGTGTGAGCAGCAAGGGGCGTTACCTTGGGGGACATGACGACGAGAGGCTTGGAGAAATGCCGGTTGACCTGCACAAGGGAGAGAGAGAGGTGACCAACAGATGGGTGCGCATGGGTACAGATGGGTGGATGGGGAGGGATAAGCACTAGGAGATGAGGATGGTAGTGATATGCACATAGTGGCATGATGCCTTGATGACACATGTCATGTCAGCACACAGCAGTGGAGGCCACCTGACATCAGAGAGGGCACCTGGCAGCAGAGAGAGCACCTGACATCAGAGAGGGCACCTGACATCAGAGAGGGCACCTGGCAGCAGAGAGGGCACCTGACATCAGAGAGGGCACCTGGCAGCAGAGAGAGCACCTGACAGCAGAGAGGGCACCTGACAGCAGAGAGGGCACCTGGCAGCAGAGAGAAGAGAGCACCTGGCAGCAGAGAGAGCACCTGACAGCAGAGAGAGCACCTGGCGGTGGGAGAAGAAAGCACCTGGCAGGTGACGGCACCCACCTGGCAGGTGACGGCACCCACCTGGCGGCGGAGGGCGTGGAAGTAGTTAGCGGGGGTGGTGAGGTTGACAACACACACGTTGTTGTCCCTCTGTGCGTTGCGCCTCATCCACCGCACCATGAATGACTCCCAGTCCGCCCTGGTGGGTGACAGCACATTGCGAGTGCATGTTGCAAGCATGCATGTTGCTAAGGAAACAAAAACAACAATCACACATGTAATGGGTTGCATGCATGGCCCACGTCACCATTAACGCCTCCGAGTCCGCCCTTTTAGCTACCCCAGTCTATTTCTCTTTCCTCAGAATGGAGTACCTACAATAAACCATGCTTGGCACTTTTCCGATTTGTAGGCGCCTCAAAAATCACACTCCAACTTGGCACTTTTCCGATTTACAGTATAACCATACTTGGCACTTTTCCGATTTATAGTATACACCATACTTGGCACTTTTCCGATTTATAGTATACACCATACTTGGCTCTTTTCCGAACCAGCTGACTTTCTCCCTCCTTAACGACAAGCTGTACAGCCTCTTCTGTCCTCACAACAATTCTGCTGGCTCACTTGGAGATTTGATTTGATTCGTCGATGTGCATCTGGTGGGCGAGCGCCGTCACGTAGTTGTGGCCCAGCCCGTACTGCGTCTGCATGAACTCCAGCAAATCAGAGAGTGACACGTGGCCCTTGTTATCTGCCATGGATCCGGATAGGCAGGGTTTTCAAAAAGAGAGACCTTTTCATCACGAGCCCTCCTTTTCTGGTGCCCTTTTCACCTCAACCCTCAATTGGCCAAACCCTCAATTGGCCGACCCCACCTCTTGTTGTCTTCTCGTCCCTCTCATCTCAAGCCCCACTTTCCCTTCCCTTGCTCTATATGCATGTCTTTGGAGCTGCGTTAGCCACTGCAGTATTTTCCTACTCTTTTCACTCAAGCCCATCAAATCTCAAGCCAAGCACTGTTGCCTTGCTGTCTGCCCACTGCCGCCCACTCACCCCGGTCGGCAATGGTGAACCCTGCCTCAATTTGGGCGGCCAGGTGTGGACTGTAGCCGGGGAGGTGGTCCGCATCATCATTCACCAACTGCTTGGGAGCATGTGGGGATAGGAATGAAGGAGCGGAGGAAGTGGGTGGGGGGTAGGAGAAGAGAATGGAAGAGGGGAGGAAATCGGAGACGGGAGGGAATGGGAAAGGGGAAGAAGAAGAAATGGGAAGAAAGTGGGAAATGGAGGAGGGAAAGAGTTTGAGTGAGTGGAGGAGGGAAGGCAGTGACTGGCAACAAGGGGGGTGGCTGTGGGTGCAGAGATGGAAGGTGTCTAGCCAACTGCCAAGGCGGGCAGACAAACGAAAAACACATGAACGAGAATTGAGTGATGTGCCATGGCCATTTGAAATCACATGAAATCAGACAACCTGAGGTTTTACCTGAAGGACGACCTGAAGAACCACCTGCAGGTACCTCTCAACCCTTCCAAAAACCCACCTGAAGCAGCCACCTGAAGCACCCACCTGAAGGACCCACCTGAATCACCCACCTGAAGGACCAACCCAACTGCAGGTACCTTTCAACCCTGCCAAGAACCCACCTGAAGACCCACCTGAAGACCCACCTGAAGACCCACCTGCAGGTACCTCTCGAGGCGGGCGGAGGAGTGCTCAGGCCCCTGGCCATCAAAGCCGTGGGGCAGCAGCAGCACGAGGCCCGTGGGGGTCATCCACTTGTCCTCCCCGCTCACTATGAAGTTGTCTATTATCGCCTGCGCGTTGTTCGCAAAGTCCCCAAACTGTAAGATTCGCAGTGGGGGGAGGGAGACGAGAAAGAGAAGGGATGGAGAGGGGGTAAAAAAGGGAGAGGACAGGGAGATTAGAGAGAGAGGAAAGGGAAATAGAGGCTTGTAGCCTGTACAGGGATGTGTATTGATAACCGGACTAAATAAGGAGAGGGAGAGTAGAGGACAAGAAGCAGGATGGCTGGCATACCACCTGAGCCTCCCAGCACCGCACGGCACAGCACACAAGCCGGGCGATTTTTGAGAATTTTCAAAAAGCGCGGCACACTGCACCTGGACGGCACGTCAGCGGGCCTCCCAACCCACCGGCATGTCCCAGCAGAGGAGGGCATTTTCGTTCTCCAGGCTGAAGCCATACTCAAAGCCCAGCACTGCACAGCACACCGGCACACTGGCACACCGGCACACCAGTGGCTGTACTCGAAACCCAACCCAGCACGGCACACACACCAGACCAGTCGCCTTCCTAACCCACCTGCGCCTCCCAGCAGACGAGGGCATTTTCATTCTCCAGGCTGAAGCCATACTCAAAGTCCAGCACTGCACAGCACACTGGGACACCGGCACACCGGCACACCAGTGTGACTGTACTCAAAGTCCAACCCAGTATGGCACACACACCATTCGCCCTCCCAACCCACCTGAGCCTCCCAGCAGACGAGGGCGTTTTCATTCTCCAGGCTGAAGCCGTACTCGAAACCAAGCACTGCTGCTTCTGACAGGCTCGAGTTGCACACCATAAACCGCTCCTGACCCGCTGCCACATGCTGCAGGGGGGTGTACCTGCGGCGCAGCACACATAGTGGTTGGGGTTGCATTGCATTGCATGTGGGAGGAATACGGGTGCCACCAAGGCAACCACAAAGCCCGGCACTGCTGCCTCTGACAGGCTCGAGTTGCACACCATGAACCGCTCCTGACCCGCAGCCACATGCTGCACGGGGGTGTACCTGCGATGAGGGGGTTGGGGTTGCATTGTGTGTGAGGAAAGCTACTGGTGGTGCCAAGGCAACCACAAAGCCCGGCACTGCTGCCTCTGATAGGCTCGAGCTGCACACCATGAACCGCTCCTGACCCGCTGCCACGTGCTGTAGGGGGGTGAACCTGAGGTGGATCATGAGTCATATGTGAGCCACATTGCATGGGATGAGAGGGGGTGAGTAGCAGTGTGAAACGCACTTTGAGGGCATAACAGCAGCCTCCAACAGCCTTGAGTCGAGTTGCACACCATGAACCGCTCCTGCCCTGCTGCCACGTGCTGCAGTGTGGTGTAACTACTGCGGTGAAGCGCACATGCGCGTTGGGGTCGTATGCGAGAGAGAGACAAAGTACAGGTGTGAAGAGAGACTCAAAGCCTGAAGTGTGGCAGCTTTGAACAATTGTGCATGGTATATTACAAACACTAGAAGCTAGAGGCCCACACACACACACTCACTCACCACTGCCCCATGACCTGGTCGTTCATGACAGCGTGGCGGTGGTTGAAGGTGTGCCATGATGAGTGCGTGTGTGCACAAGTATGTAAGAGCATGCACCACATCACACATCACACCCACCGCTGCCCCCAACTCACCGCTTTCCTGTGGCCTGGTCGTGCATGACGACATGGCGTCATAGGAGAGCATGTGTAACATCAAGTCAGTGCGTGCATAGGAGAGCATGTGTGGCATCAAGTCAGTGCGTGCATAGGAGAGCATGTGTAGCATCAAGTCAGTGCGTGCATAGGAGAGCATGTGTGGCATCAAGTCAGTGCGTGCATAGGAGAGCATGTGTGGCATCAAGTCAGTGCGTGCATAGGAGAGCATGTGTGGCATCAAGTCAGTGCGTGCATAGGAGAGCATGTGTAGCATCAAGTCAGTGCGTGCATAGGAGAGCATGTGTGGCATCAAGTCAGTGCGTGCATAGGAGAGCATGTGTGGCATCAAGTCAGTGCGTGCATAGGAGAGCATGTGTGGCATCAAGTCAGTGCGTGCATAGGAGAGCATGTGTAGCATCAAGTCAGTGCGTGCATAGGAGAGCATGTGTAGCATCAAGTCAGTGCGTGCATAGGAGAGCATGTGTAGCATCAAGTCAGTGCGTGCATAGGAGAGCATGTGTGGCATCAAGTCAGTGCGTGCATAGGAGAGCATGTGTGGCATCAAGTCAGTGCGTGCATAGGAGAGCATGTGTGGCATCAAGTCAGTGCGTGCATAGGAGAGCATGTGTGGCATCAAGTCAGTGCGTGCATAGGAGAGCATGTGTGGCATCAAGTCAGTGCGTGCATAGGAGAGCATGTGTGGCATCAAGTCAGTGCGTGCATAGGAGAGCATGTGTGGCATCAAGTCAGTGCGTGCATAGGAGAGCATGTGTAGCATCAAGTCAGTGCGTGCATAGGAGAGCATGTGTAGCATCAAGTCAGTGCGTGCATAGGAGAGCATGTGTGGCATCAAGTCAGTGCGTGCATAGGAGAGCATGTGTGGCATCAAGTCAGTGCGTGCATAGGAGAGCATGTGTGGCATCAAGTCAGTGCGTGCATAGGAGAGCATGTGTGGCATCAAGTCAGTGCGTGCATAGGAGAGCATGTGTGGCATCAAGTCAGTGCGTGCATAGGAGAGCATGTGTGGCATCAAGTCAGTGCGTGCATAGGAGAGCATGTGTGGCATCAAGCCAGTGCGTGCATAGGAGAGCATGTGTGGCATCAAGTCAGTGCGTGCATAGGAGAGCATGTGTGGCATCAAGTCAGTGCGTGCATAGGAGAGCATGTGTAGCATCAAGTCAGTGCGTGCATAGGAGAGCATGTGTAGCATCAAGTCAGTGCGTGCATAGGAGAGCATGTGTAGCATCAAGTCAGTGCGTGCATAGGAGAGCATGTGTGGCATCAAGTCAGTGCGTGCATAGGAGAGCATGTGTGGCATCAAGTCAGTGCGTGCATAGGAGAGCATGTGTGGCATCAAGTCAGTGCGTGCATAGGAGAGCATGTGTGGCATCAAGTCAGTGCGTGCATAGGAGAGCATGTGTGGCATCAAATCAGGTCAGTGCGTGCATAGGAGAGCATGTGTAGCATCAAGTCAGTGCGTGCATAGGAGAGCATGTGTGGCATCAAATCAAGTCAGTGCGTGCATAGGAGAGCATGTGTGGCATCAAGTCAGTGCGTGCATAGGAGAGCATGTGTGGCATCAAGTCAGTGCGTGCATAGGAGAGCATGTGTGGCATCAAGTCAGTGCGTGCATAGGAGAGCATGTGTGGCATCAAGTCACTGCGTGCATAGGAGAGCATGTGTGGCATCAAGTCAGTGCGTGCATAGGAGAGCATGTGTAGCATCAAGTCAGTGCGTGCATAGGAGAGCATGTGTGGCATCAAGTCAGTGCGTGCATAGGAGAGCATGTGTGGCATCAAGTCAGTGCGTGCATAGGAGAGCATGTGTGGCATCAAGTCAGTGCGTGCATAGGAGAGCATGTGTAGCATCAAGTCAGTGCGTGCATAGGAGAGCATGTGTAGCATCAAGTCAGTGCGTGCATAGGAGAGCATGTGTAGCATCAAGTCAGTGCGTGCATAGGAGAGCATGTGTGGCATCAAGTCAGTGCGTGCATAGGAGAGCATGTGTGGCATCAAGTCAGTGCGTGCATAGGAGAGCATGTGTGGCATCAAGTCAGTGCGTGCATAGGAGAGCATGTGTGGCATCAAGTCAGTGCGTGCATAGGAGAGCATGTGTGGCATCAAGTCAGTGCGTGCATAGGAGAGCATGTGTGGCATCAAGTCAGTGCGTGCATAGGAGAGCATGTGTGGCATCAAGTCAGTGCGTGCATAGGAGAGCATGTGTGGCATCAAGTCAGTGCGTGCATAGGAGAGCATGTGTGGCATCAAGTCAGTGCGTGCATAGGAGAGCATGTGTGGCATCAAGTCAGTGCGTGCATAGGAGAGCATGTGTGGCATCAAGTCAGTGCGTGCATAGGAGAGCATGTGTGGCATCAAGTCAGTGCGTGCATAGGAGAGCATGTGTGGCATCAAGTCAGTGCGTGCATAGGAGAGCATGTGTAGCATCAAGTCAGTGCGTGCATAGGAGAGCATGTGTAGCATCAAGTCAGTGCGTGCATAGGAGAGCATGTGTAGCATCAAGTCAGTGCGTGCATAGGAGAGCATGTGTGGCATCAAGTCAGTGCGTGCATAGGAGAGCATGTGTGGCATCAAGTCAGTGCGTGCATAGGAGAGCATGTGTGGCATCAAGTCAGTGCGTGCATAGGAGAGCATGTGTGGCATCAAGTCAGTGCGTGCATAGGAGAGCATGTGTGGCATCAAGTCAGTGCGTGCATAGGAGAGCATGTGTGGCATCAAGTCAGTGCGTGCATAGGAGAGCATGTGTGGCATCAAGCCAGTGCGTGCATAGGAGAGCATGTGTGGCATCAAGTCAGTGCGTGCATAGGAGAGCATGTGTGGCATCAAGTCAGTGCGTGCATAGGAGAGCATGTGTAGCATCAAGTCAGTGCGTGCATAGGAGAGCATGTGTGGCATCAAGTCAGTGCGTGCATAGGAGAGCATGTGTGGCATCAAGTCAGTGCGTGCATAGGAGAGCATGTGTGGCATCAAATCAGGTCAGTGCGTGCATAGGAGAGCATGTGTAGCATCAAGTCAGTGCGTGCATAGGAGAGCATGTGTGGCATCAAATCAAGTCAGTGCGTGCATAGGAGAGCATGTGTGGCATCAAGTCAGTGCGTGCATAGGAGAGCATGTGTGGCATCAAGTCAGTGCGTGCATAGGAGAGCATGTGTGGCATCAAGTCAGTGCGTGCATAGGAGAGCATGTGTGGCATCAAGTCAGTGCGTGCATAGGAGAGCATGTGTGGCATCAAGTCAGTGCGTGCATAGGAGAGCATGTGTGGCATCAAGTCAGTGCGTGCATAGGAGAGCATGTGTAGCATCAAGTCAGTGCGTGCATAGGAGAGCATGTGTGGCATCAAGTCAGTGCGTGCATAGGAGAGCATGTGTGGCATCAAGTCAGTGCGTGCATAGGAGAGCATGTGTGGCATCAAATCAAGTCAGTGCGTGCATAGGAGAGCATGTGTGGCATCAAGTCAGTGCGTGCATAGGAGAGCATGTGTGGCATCAAGTCAGTGCGTGCATAGGAGAGCATGTGTAGCATCAAGTCAGTGCGTGCATAGGAGAGCATGTGTAGCATCAAGTCAGTGCGTGCATAGGAGAGCATGTGTAGCATCAAGTCAGTGCGTGCATAGGAGAGCATGTGTGGCATCAAGTCAGTGCGTGCATAGGAGAGCATGTGTGGCATCAAGTCAGTGCGTGCATAGGAGAGCATGTGTGGCATCAAGTCAGTGCGTGCATAGGAGAGCATGTGTAGCATCAAGTCAGTGCGTGCATAGGAGAGCATGTGTGGCATCAAGTCAGTGCGTGCATAGGAGAGCATGTGTGGCATCAAATCAAGTCAGTGCGTGCATAGGAGAGCATGTGTAGCATCAAGTCAGTGCGTGCATAGGAGAGCATGTGTGGCATCAAATCAAGTCAGTGCGTGCATAGGAGAGCATGTGTGGCATCAAGTCAGTGCGTGCATAGGAGAGCATGTGTGGCATCAAGTCAGTGCGTGCATAGGAGAGCATGTGTGGCATCAAGTCAGTGCGTGCATAGGAGAGCATGTGTAGCATCAAGTCAGTGCGTGCATAGGAGAGCATGTGTGGCATCAAGTCAGTGCGTGCATAGGAGAGCATGTGTGGCATCAAGTCAGTGCGTGCATAGGAGAGCATGTGTGGCATCAAGTCAGTGCGTGCATAGGAGAGCATGTGTGGCATCAAGTCAGTGCGTGCATAGGAGAGCATGTGTAGCATCAAGTCAGTGCGTGCATAGGAGAGCATGTGTAGCATCAAGTCAGTGCGTGCATAGGAGAGCATGTGTGGCATCAAGTCACCGCTGCCCCCAACCCTCAACTCACCGCTTCCCCGTGACCTGGTCGTGCATGACGGCATGGCGCTGGTTGAAGGTGCCGCGCTCACAGTCCTGCCCGCTCAGCCGCACCGAATGCATGGGGTTGCTGTCAGCAGTCTGGTTCAAAGACGGGTCAAACGGCAGCACCAGCGAGCTGGAGGGATGGGGGGTGTTTGTGGGGGAGCGGAGCGGCCCGGGCGGGTGGCAATCAGATGGGGGGTGTTTGTGGGGTTTGCTGTCAGCCGTCTGGTTCAAAGACGGGTCAAATGGCAGCACCAGAGAGCTGGGGAGAGAGGGGTTGGTGGAGGGGAGATGGAGGGGAGGTCGAGGGGAGATAGAGGGGACGTGGGAAATGGGGTGGGAAGAGGACGCATGCGTGGGGATGCTGGCAGCCGTTTGGTTAAAAGACGGGCCAAATGGCAGCACCAGAGAGCTGGAGGGATGGCAGCATCAAAGAGATGGGAAAACGAAGCATGCGGGGGGTTATTGTCAGCTGTCGGCTGAGAGAGGGGTCAAACGGCAGCAGCAGAGAGCTGGAGAGAGAGGGTGGGTGTGGGAGAACGGGGGAAGTGGGGAAATGGGATGGGAAGAGGAAGCAGGAGCGCGGGTTGCTGGCAGCCGGCTGCCTCAGATCAGAGACGCGTTGAACGGCAGCAGCAGAGGGCTGGATAAGAAGAGGGATGGGAAGTGGGGGCGGGTGGTGGGTGGGTGGTGGGTGAGTGGTGGGTGGGCAGGTGGGGGTCATTGGGATTGGACAGAGAAAAGTCGTGGGCAGGGTTGCTGGCAGCTGTCTGGTTCAGAGACGGGTCAGACGGCAGCACCAGAGAGCTGAAGCCGGGGTGGTGGGGCGGGTAAGGGCAAGAGGAGGGGGTGGTGGGCGGGTAGATCGGTGAAAGGGGGTGGGAAGTAGAAGCATGGGGCTCTGTCAGCCGTAGTCCAGGTTTTTTTTTTTTTTTTTGGTACCAAAATACTGCAGTTTATTACTTTGCTCGACCCTAGTAGATGGTTGGGTGCCTAAAATACTCGACTGAAAACTTGACACGTCCCGTGTAAGAACCCACAGAACTGGCAAGAGCCTGTGCTACCAGTGCCCTGTCAATGCCTCCCCAGTCAATCAGTCAATGATTTCGCAAGTCAATGCCTCCCCAGTCAATCAGTCAATTATTTCGCAAGTCAATGCCTCCCCAGTCAATCAGTCAATGATTTCGCAAGTCAATGCCTCCCCAGTCAATCAGTCAATGCTTTCGCAAGTCAATGCCTCCCCAGTCAATCAGTCAATGCTTTCGCAAGTCAATGCCTCCCCAGTCAATCAATCAATGCTTTCGCAAGTCAATGCCTTCGCCAGTTAATGCCTTCTCCAGTTGTGAAACCTCTCAGCAGTGCTGCAGTAACACACAAGCATACCCGAAGGCGAGAGCCTCTGCCATGGCCCAGTCGATGCCTTCCCCAGTTGCCATCATCCTGCGCCGGTTCTCCAGCAGCGATGCCACCTGAGGGGTGCGTAGGTGGGGATGAGGAGGGTGCGGAAGCGGGGGACGGAGGCCGAAGAAGGAGGGGAAGAAAAATGAGGGAGGCAGGCGGGGAAGAGGGGGCACGAACACGGAGGGAGGCAGGGGATCAGTCAGGGAGGCAGGGGATCAGTCAGTGGTTATCTTGCAGCAATTGCATGAAGTGATGGTGGCAATTGACAGCAGGTGTGGGGAGGAGAGGAGGCATGATCGACAACAATGGGTGAATGCCAAAGGGGAAAAGGCGAAAATTGATGCTCCGTGATTGGCTCCCGGCTGTGTGAGCAAGCAATGCATAATGCTGCTGGACATTTGAAGTTTGCATACAGTTGTGCTGGAATTTCGGCTTACAAAACAAGGTAAATTTCTGGATTTCAGTTCGGTAGAGTAGAGTACCTGTGGGTGCAAGGTGAAGTCTGGCGGTATTGTGCAGAGCGCATCCCCCTGTGATTCATCGGATGTGAAAACATGTGGCCACAACAACATGGGAGAATGTGAAGCCGTGACAGCATGGGATGTGGCATGTGAAATTTCGAGGGATATGTGGAATGGAGTGGAACTTGCATGTCAGGAGATTTGAGCACACAGGAAGAGCAGCTATTGCAAAAAGAGCTTCCGACTTTCATGGCATTCAGGATTTGTAGGCCCTTCAAGATACTTTCATGCCATTCAGGATTTGTAGGCCCTTCAAGAGACTTTCATGACATGCATGGCTTGCCATGCTCCACACGTGCCTTCAACTCAAGGGCCCCAATTGCACGGCAGTAGAATACATTGGTCGACCCAAAGCTCCTGATCCCCCACGTTCACCTCTCCCAACTGCCTCCAACTCCCCCCGCCCACTCATCATCTCCTTACCCCCCTCCCCATCTCTCACCACGCGTTGCAGGGTCTTCACAGGAAGGCCAGTGGGCTGCACCTTGCGCTGACTCACCAGCGACCCAAGCGCCTCCCCTGCCATGCCATGCCATGCCATGCCATGCCATGCCATGCCATGCCATGCCATGCATGCCATGCCATGCCATGCCATGATATGCCATGCCGTGGCATGCGGTGGCATGCCATTAGCATCAGAGAGACAAGCCATGACATGCTGTATGGCAAACTAACAGCGAGCAGACATGCCATGCCACGTTGAATATTTCCAGCTCAGCAGAAGAACGCCAGCTGTCCACACTATTGCCAGCTGTCCACACTATTGCCAGCTGTCCACACTATTGCCAGCTGTCCACACTATTGCCAGCTGTCCACACTATTGCCAGCTGTCTACACTATTGCCAGCTGTCCACACTATTGCCAGCTGTCTACACTATTGCCAGCTGTACAGACTAAACACTGGCAGCTGCACCTTACCTTGCCAGTTGGCAGCCAGCCAATCCTGTGGCGACACCTGTTGCTTGCTGGTGCTCTCAAACGCACGCTCAAACTCAGCCTCCACGTCAGCCTGCCAGCTGGCGATCTCCTGATGGGGGGACGTGGGTGGATGGATGACACCGTGCAGCATGTGCATGCATGTACGCATCAATGAGTATACATTGACAAGCGGCTTGCATATGTATGGACATGCTTGCACGCGTGCTGTGCACATGCTATGTTGTGTGTGAGTGAGAACAACCGATTCCAACTTATGCAGAAGTCTGAAGCACTGGCGTTGTCACACCGCCGCCACTCCCCACCACCCTCACCAACCAACCACATGGCCCTCATAGAAAGAAACCCTGCCGCTCTCACCTCTGCCGTGACCACATCCTCGGCCATGAGCCGCGCGGCATACAGCTGAAGGCATGGCGGGTGGGCGTCAACTAGAGAGTACATCAGGGGTTGTGTCACTCGTGGGTCGTCCTGTAAAGAGAGGAAGGGGGGGGTTGGGAGGTGGGGGGAGGAATCGGTCTATATTGGTGTGCAACTGAGAGTACATCAGCAGATGCGTCCTGTGGTGGGAAGGAGGAAGTAGGAAGGACAGGGGGTAAGAGATAGGGAGCGGATTGAGCGCCCTGCATCGATCGATGCTGCCTTGTCAGGAACGGCGTTTGCTTGTGTGCATACGTGCGCGCATACATGTGTGCGTATATGTTATGTGCAGTGCAGAGTAGCTTTTTTGAGGCGAATCAAAATACACCTCAATGCACGAGAATTTCTTGTGTGCATGCGTGCGTGCATACGTGTGTGCGTATATGTTATGTGCAGTGCAGCGTAGCACCTGACATGCGTATGCTCACATGCTCGCACGCTGAAATGCCAACACGTGCAGTCTAGCTAGCATGCCCACCTGCTCGTTGTGCCCTATCGCCTGTAGCACACGAGTTCCACCACCACATCCTTGTCGTCTGCTCCTCTACCCACACACATGCCACATGCACATGCTCCCATGCTCGCACGCACCAAGTGCTGACATTGCAAGTGCACTCTAGGGAAGATTTTTTCACCTGCTCATTGTGGCCATGTCGCCTGTAGCACACGAGGTCCACCACCACATCCTTGCCGAATGTCTGCTCCACCCGCTCCACACACATGCCAAATCATCAATGCACATACACATGCATATGATGCACAACAGATTTATGCACGCATTCCATATTGCCCACCCATTGAGATTTCAAACTAGATTGGTACATCAACAAGCCGAATGGCACGTCGTGCACAGGAACACATGGCAATGGCATGAGTGGAGTGGGTAACACATAATGGTCACGGGACATGATACTGCCGCATAACTTTGCAAGCAAAACACACATTCTGCGACACGTCAGCACGTCACCCCACCCTTCACACCTGGCGCCAGTCGACAGCGAGGGAGCAGATGTGAGCCACTGCCTCGGGATCATCCGCGTTCACATGGAAGATGGGTGCCCCTACTGCCTGCAGCAAGAGGGGCAGGATGAGGTGGTTAGTTCAAATCAGCCTTCCGCCACTGCCTGCGGAACAAGGGGATGAATCATCAAAGGCCTGGTTAGCCCTATCAACAAAACGCCTGCCACCGCTTTCTGAGGATTGTGGGCATGCACTTGGAATACAATAGTTTGGAAGCCATGCAATCTGATTGTTGAAGATCATGTGAATCATGCTCTGCCTGCCATGTCTTCATTTCATTTCATGCCTTTTTTCACATGCCTTGTTTCCACGTATTGTCTTCTTTCCATGTCAACTACTCAGCACAATCTCTCTTTCACTACCTAGTTAGTTCCAACCTTTTCCCCTGCCGGCCCACCTTGGCGAAGTCAGAGGGGTGGGGGGAGGAGCGGGCGAGCTTAGGGTCGGTGGTGAATCCGATCTGATTGTTGATGATCACGTGGATCGTGCCACCTGTTGTGTACTCCGGTAGGTCCGACAGCTGCTCCAGAAAGGTGGAGAGGGGTTTAGCACGGTTGAGAGGGTGACAAAGGACAGATGATTGGGTTTTGAACTTGTGATGGCTGATTGGTGTCTACGTGCAGGTTAGCAGCAGCCGTCCGTTTTTCAGAATTACAGGAAACAACGGCACAGGGATAGAACAGTGGATGGATGTGATAAGAGGGAAAGAGAACAATTGTTGCTTTCCTGCCGCAGCCACCATGTCATGTATTTGATACATGCATACCTGTGCCTGCAGCTTTGCCGTACCTGCAGCACCTCAGGAGCGAGGCCAAGGCCACTGAAGGCTGCATCGCCATGCAGAATGAGGCCCTGGAAGGAGGCTCAGGGGGGCATGGAGTGGGAACGGTGCAGGGAGGTGCAGAAAGGTGCAACAAGTCCAGGGAGATGCCATACGAAACCATTTGGCATAAAAAAACATGCGTGGGAAACGTTTGGCACAGACCATGACAGATGGTCTAGAGGTGTCGTTGGTGTGTGAGAGCTTCTTGGCTCACAGGAAAACAGCATCCAGCACACAGCATAGCAGATTAGATAAGGGAACACTGGGCATCAAGCATCCAGCACAGCACCGCACTACACAGCACTGCACAGCACCGCACAGCACCGCAAAGCACAAACCATGACAGATCGCCGGGAGGATTCGTTGGTGAAGAGCTGCGTGGCTCTGGCCTTGCCCACCACCACCGGATCCACCACGAAGCATAACAGGTGAGTGAGATTACGCTGGGCATTGAGCATCAGGCACAGCACACAGCACCGCACAGCACCGCACGGCACACACCATGACGGAGCGGCGGGAGGAGTCGTTGGTGAAGAGCTGCTTGGCTCTGGCCTTGCCCACCACGACTGGATCCACCAGCTCCAGATGGCTGGGGTTGGGCAGTAGAGACACTTGCACCTGCGCTGGTGGGAACATGGTGGCGAGGCATGGCGGAAGAAACAGGTTGGAGTGGGTTTTGAGTTGGTTGTTGTGCAGTCCCCTTGCCCCGCCCACCACCACCGGATCCACCAGCTCCAGATGGCTGGGGTTGGGCAGTAGTGACACTTGCACCTGCGCTGTGCTGCGCTGTGCTGCGCTGTGCTGCGCTGTGCTGCGCTGTGCTGCGCTGCGCTGCGCTGCGCTGTGCTGCGCTGCGCTGTGCTGTGCTGTGCTGCGCTGCGCTGTGCTGTGCTGCGCTGCACTGCGCTGTGCTGCGCTGCGCTGTGCTGTGCTGTGCTGCGCTGCGCTGTGCTGTGCTGTGCTGTGCTGTGCTGTGCTGTGCTGTGCTGTGCTGTGATGTGCTGTGCTGTGCTGTGCTGTGCTGTGCTGTGCTATGCTGTGCTGTGCTGTGCTGTGCTGTGGTCTCTATAATACTATCTTCATTTCGCCGTGCATAGAAATGAACGTAGGGAAAAAAGGCAAGGTGAGAGCACCTGGTTTTAGAGAAACTGTGCTCACCTGATTGCCTTCAAACTCAAGTGTGGAACGTGTACCCTGCCAAGTGATGTGATGGGTTGTAATGGGATGGGATGCGATGCAATGCCACAGAACGCATGCATTGCAAGAAACGCAATGGCATGTAATCATGCCACACAACGCCACGCCACACAATGCCACGCCACACAATGCCACGCCACACAACGCCACGCCACACAATGCCACGCCACACAATGCCACGCCACATCACACAAGCAAAGCATAAGGAAACCAGGAAGGAAGGCAACAATGCCGCCAGCTTAAACAGATGTGAACGGACGACCTCTGAAAGTAAGGCCGGAAGAAACAAGGTGTGAAACTAGAGAAGTGAGGTAACGGGTGGTAGACACATGGACTGGAGGCACATACCAGGTGGTACTTGACATCGCCCACTTGCAGCAGCTCTGAGAGTTCAGGTGAAACTTCAGGTGGTTTGAACTCAGATAGGATGGAGCTCAGCGGCTTTCCCAGGACTGCATGCAGCACACTCAGACGACCTCTTTGGAACGTGGAAGGGGTGGAGGGGGACGAAGCAGGGAAAGGGGGAAGGGAGGGGAAAGGTGAAGGGCACGGAGAGTAGAGTTGGGTATGGGTGGATTCGAGAGGCAGAAGATCGCCAGAATTTCTTCAAACATCTCCAAAAATTGGCACAGCACAGCATCTTATTTCACATCATACGGTCATTGCATGCATGGAGAAGTCTATAAAAAGGGGAAGTTGTGTGAGCCATGACTCTCCCTTCCTTTTCCCCCCTCTCTCCTAGCATATGGCCCACCCACCTGTGCGCCCCACCCACCTATGCACCATGCCCCACCCACCTGTGTGCCACACCACACCCACCTATGTGCCATGCCCAGCTTGACAAACTTCACGCCACTGCCAGCAGCCCGCCCCAGCAGAGCCAGCAGCCCCGGCACCAGCGCCTCCCCTCCCTCAATGCCCACCCATGAGCCATACCACACCCTCGTGTGCCCTATAGAATGAAACACCCACCTATGCGCCACACCCACCAATAAGCCGCACCCACATGCCCACCTATGCACCACGCCCCACCCACCTATGAGCCATGCCCAGCTCTACAAACTTCACGCCACTGCCAGCAGCCCGTCCCAGCAGAGCCAGCAGCCCCGGCACCAGCGCCTCCCCTCCCTCAATGCCAAACCGCTTCACCGAGGGAAACTTGCGCGCAAGGAAGCGCTCAAAGGCATCTGTTTGGGGATGAGCAGGGGTTGGGATGGGTGGGGAGGGGTGGGGAGGGGTAGTGGGGTGTGTGGTGAGATTGGCACCAGCGCCTCCCCGCCCTCGATGCCAAACCGCTTCACCGAAGAAAACTTGCGCGCAAGGAAGCGTTCAAAGGCGTCAGTTTGGGAGACGAGCGGGGATCAGGGCAAGAGGAGAGTCACAACACAAGCAGTGCAATCAAAGTGGCACCAGCGCCTCCTCGCCCTCGATGCCAAACCGCTTCACCGAAGGAAACTTGCGCGCGAGAAATCGTTCAAAGGCGTCTGTTCTAGGGGCAGGGGTGCAGGTGGGTTGGAAGGGATTGGGTGAGAGGGGTGTGATGGACAAACAGGAAGTTATGCGAGCAGCCCTGGTGCCAGCGCCTCCCCTCCCTCGATGCCAAACCGCTTCACTGAGGGGGACTTGCGAGTAAGAAAGCATTCAAAGGCGTCTGTTTGGGAATAGGCAGGGGTTGGGGTGGGTGGGGAGGAGTGGCGGGGTGTGTGGTGAGAGTGGCACCAGCGCCTGTCCGCTCCATTTTCAGCATCAAACCGGTTCACTGAAAGGAGCTTGCATGCATTTTGAGACGCCTCAAAAATCACTGAAAGGAGCTTGCATGCGAGAAAGTGCTCAAAGGCGTCTGTGTGGGGAGGGGATCGGCGTGGAGGGTGCATGGGCAAGAGCAGACGGTGGTGACGCTGCATGCAGGCCCAGTTCTCATCCACCCCAGTTCTCATCCACCCCAGTTCTCATCCACCCCAGTTCTCATCCACCCCAGTTCTCATCCACCCCAGTTCTCACCTACCCCAGTTCTCACCTACCCCAGTTCTCACCTACCCCAGTTCTCACCTACCCCAGTTCTCACCTACCCCAGTTCTCACCTACCCCAGTTCTCACCTACCCCCATGTCTCACCGGCGTACAGCAGGCGGTGCAGTAGCTGCCGTTGCTGGGTTGGAGAGAAGAGCTGGCGCAGGGGAGGGCGCTCCTTGCTCGCCAGGTACCGGCAAGCAGCACTACTCACCGGCATACAGCAGGCGGTGCAGCAATTGACGCTGCTGGGTTGGAGAGAAGAGTTGTCGCAGGGGAGGCCTTTCCATGGCAGCCTGCACCCACCGCTTCTGCTGCTTGCTCGCCAGGTGTGCGCACTCCACTGTGCTCGTGCGGCAGTACGCGTTCCGCAGCAGCCCCACCACCTCCTCCACTGTCCAGAACAGCTGTGCCGCGCGCACAATGCGCAGCTGCTCCCCCAGGAAGTACCTGCCACGAGTGCGTTGGGAGGGAGGGGTGGGAAAAGACATGGGGCCAGCCAGGAGCCCCACCACCTCCTCCACTTTCCAAACAGCTGTGCTGCCCGCACGATGCGCAGCTGCTCCCCCAGGAAGTACCTGCCACCACGTTTTTCCCAAGCGATTGCACGCTGAGAATAATTCCAGTTCATGCGCATGTTGTTCCCAATGTATGCACCCATGCAAGCACATGGGATGCGTTGCACATGCAACTCATAAAAAAACGCTCGTCCTAGAGCGTTCTCGAATCCTTGCTGCACATTGGGTACTGTACCTCTTCTTCACATCAATGCCTGCCAGACCAACCGCGCCCAGGTCCAGCTCCGGGTAGTTCCGAAGCAGGCGAAACAGGTCCGGCGCGTTCTCAGGTTCGGGCAGAGCCGAGACGGCAGTGCTGCCAGCAGCACCGGTTCCCTTCCTGCCAGCCCCTGTGACCTGCGATGTCCTGCTCACCCCAGCAAGCGCCCACGCCTTGCCCTTGCTGCCTGGTTTCGTGAACGAGGAATTGGCAGCAGCTGCTGCTGCTGCTGCTGCTGCTGCGGCAGCAGCAGGCGGCTGCGCGTTGTCCTTGAGGGGGCCTAGGTGCCGCCCCAAGGGGTCTGCCAGGGATCCGTGGAAGGGAATTGGGGGGGGAGAATGGGGGTGTGGGAGGCGAGAGGAGGGAAATGCATGGTGAAGGTTACCAGCACCTGTGACCTGCGATGTCCTGCTCACCCCAGCTAGCGCCCACGCCTTGCCCTTGCTGCCTGGTTTAGTGAACGAGGAATTGGCAGCAGCTGCCGCAGCAGCGGCAGCAGGCGGCTGTGCATTGTCCTTGAGGGGACCTAAATGCCGGCCCAAAGGGTCTGTTGTGGACGGGCAGAGAGGGAAGAATTTGGGAGCTTTTGAGTCGACTCAAAAGCAGCTGCAGCAGCAGGCGGCTGTGCATTGTCCTTGAGGGGAGATAAGTGCCGGCTCAAGGGGTCTGTTGTGGAAGGACAGAGAGGGAGAATATGGGAGCACCTGGGAGGTGAGAAGGGACAGGCATGGCCAAAGGGATAAAAGGGCAAAAGATGCAAACGGGTCAGTCTTTGTTCGTCGAAAAGCAAATAGAACCCAACGATTCCCGCTCGTTCGTACCTAATTGTGCAACGTAGTGACCTCTGTCTCTGAACGCTTTAACGAGTGACACTATAGCGAGCGTCTCTGACACCTCCCTCAAGTCCGTGTCGCTTGAAATCCCACGCGCGCCGCCCTGTCGCCCGAACGTGCTCGCGAAAGGACTCGCGACGGAGCTGGCGAAAGAACTTGAGAAGGGACTGGCGAAGGGATTGGCGAATGAGCTGGCGACTAACACTGTCGCTGCTGGTGATACCTTTCGCTCCCAAGGCACCCTCTCCCATGGCCGGTAGCTGGCCGGCTGGCTGACGGCAGCCGACAGACGAGGCTGCTCGAAGTTACCGGCGGATAGACGGCGCGACTGGCCATTCTGACGGACGATCCTGCTCGCAATACGAGCGCAAGCATTGCGGCGGGTTGAGCGAGCGGATAGAAGGCTCGTGTGAACGGGTGAGGAAGCGGAAGCGTGCGTGGATTTTGCCGAGCCGGAAATAGCTTGGATGGTTCGCGTGTGTAACCCACGGTCAGTTCTGCCAGCTGTAGGAGACCCTGTGGCTGCCTGCTGTCGCGACGCGCAGCTGTAGCGGGCTCGCAGGGCACGACAAATTGCGTGCTGGCCTCGTCGACCAGCCCTGCCGTGCGACAGGTGCGACATGACGTTGTGCGACATTAACCTTGCGATGACATCTCACGAGGACGCGGCATTGTCGGCGGGAGCCTTCACGCAGCAAAAGCCCACGGCCAATAGTAATGCCTAGCAGCAGTACGGGAGGTTGCAATGACTACTAATGTGGTGGTTGGTAAAAGGGGGGCGTGAATAGTGAAGGCGTGGGGC